GCAATAGCAATAGCAATAGCAGTTAGACTTATATACTGCTTCATAGGGCTTTCAGCCCTCTCTAAGCGGTTTACAGAGTCAGCATATCGCCCCCACAGTCTGGGTCCTCATTTCACCCACCACGGAAGGATGGAAGGCTGAGTCAACCTTGAGCCAGTGAGATTTGAACCACTGAACTGCAGCTAACAGTCAGCTGAAGTGGCTGCAGTACTGCACTCTAACCACTGCGCCACCTTGGCTCATGCTACCACACACATGCACAGTTTAGAGAAGACTTATCTTCCGGATTACTGCTTGGGAAGGAAAACAGCCGAGGCGTGGCAATTCACTATGCCGCGGAACTCAGCTGAGAAGATAAAGGTAGGTAAAATGCAGGGGTGGGCAGGCAGGCCCACTTGCTCATGGGAGTCAACCGATTTGCTCCCATCTGATCTTTGGAGCTACTGGCTTGCCCGAACCATTCCGAACCAGTAGAATCCCATTCCTGATGTAAATGTATCCAACATGCTTAATTTATAAAAAGTTGTGCATAAAAATTGACTCCACCTTTATTGCTTGGTTAAAATTGCTTTGACAACAACCATGGATTTCAACAGTTTTAATCGTTGTGGCATTGTTCCCTACCCAAAGTCAAGGACTGAGATGGGCAGCTGTAGAAATTGAATAAATCAATAACTTAGTTTATGGTCAATATTAATATTTCATTTATGTGTTCTAAATATTTGTTTCTTTTTATGATTCTCCCACAGATAAGTAAACAGCAACTGCAGACAGTTAAGGATCGCTTTCAAGCCTTTCTCAATGGAGAAACCCAGATTGTTGCTGATGAAGCCTTTATGAATGCTGTCCAGAGTTATTATGAGGTAAGAAAATGAGCCTGAGATATTTGCCAAGTAGACCATTAGCATTTCTTAATACTGAACTAGCTTGAAGGTAAAGAATGCATCCTTCAGTTCTTGTTGTTTTTGTTGTTAGTTATGCAGTCGTGTCTGACCCATCGCAACCCTATGGACAGCGTTCTTCCAAGCCTTCCTGTCTTCTACCATCCTCTGGAGTCCATTTAAGCTCACATCTATTGCTTCAATGACTCCATCCAGCCACCTCATTCTCTGTCGTCCCCTTCTTCTTCTTCTTTTTACATTTTTTTTTATTTTTGAATAAACACAAACAGA